ACAAGTTCACCGTTTCCGTCGCCTCCAAATCTGCCGCACAATTTAATCGCTCCCGGACACTCAGTGCACATTCAGTGGCCTGTGCACGAACTATCCGCTCTGGTCGCATCTGCTTGCGGCCTGCTGACGTCTGCACTACTGTTGGGTGTCGGATCATCCAAGACCGGCGAGGTGAGCTGACCCTACACCAGGTGTCCCCCGTGGAAGTCTTGTGTTCCCATGTAAAATAAAGTAGTTGCTCATGCCTACAGTCCTAGATCCTGCGATTTTTGATCAGTTCCATTTAATCTGCAATTCCCACATGCGCAGAAGCAGTGATATGATCATTCTTTCAACAGGTGAGCGTAGCAAAACCCGTAGTCAGATGTGATCAATTAAATGTGACGGACTCAAGTTCGGGAATGAGTAGCAGGCTATTGATGGTGGGACTGTGCTGTGTTCATCCGTTCGAACGAGTGAATCGAAGACATGAATTGTGAACTGGTCAGGTCGGATGTGTGTGTGTGTGTGTGTGTGTGTGTTGAGAAAATAGGTAGTTCTACACTGTCCTGTCTGCGATTGAAGTGGTTAGTTGGTGTCTCCGCATGAGTGTGATCAACGTGACATGGAACTGTTCGTGTGGGTGAGTGGTGTGTGTGTGTGTGCTATTGGTGGTTGTGATGATGATGAGAGAGGTTGCACTGTAGATAAATCAATGCGATTGTATGCAATGGAATGGGGCACAAGGGTTGCACGGATATAACAGTGATAATTCTAGGTTGGTAGTGGCGCCGTCTTTTAGCCGCTATTACCTTCGTGCTTTGGATCCTATTGTCCCAAATTTTCGCCTCATCACCGCCACCCAACTTTGGCGATGGGCAGTTCTGCTGTCGTCCGGTTTAATACCACGCCTAACCTAATGGGGCCTTATGTGGGTCGCCACTCCAAGTCTCGGGGCTTAGGTTACCGATTCACATCACTGAACAGCAAGTCCTCGCGACTATGGGGGTCGCCCCGTCTGTTCATCACAGGAAAGTGTTTAATAATAAAACAGAAGTATGTGCATTTTCATGCCAACAGGTTGGTTTATGCTGTCTGTACACGTTGTCCTTGATTCTGAAACCATGAATGGACATTTAAATGAAGTGGTTTTCGTTGTTATCCTATGGCAGTCCGTTGGGATAATGAATTGCACGGAATAAGTACAGAACAGAAAGTAGTGGAACGGGAAGGATACGGCATACAGCGAAACGAAATTCATCCAGAAACGGGGATAGAATTCGACGTGCCGCATTGCAGATTGATGGTGGTTTGGGACTTAAAACCTTTACGCAGGTTGCTTGCCTGTAAATAACTCCCTTCTGACATTTTTAAGGCGCTCAAATAGTGCAGTTCAACTATCAGATGGGAAGATTGTGTCACACGACGTTAGCATCTAGCTTAGTTGTCTTTGGGAGGTCTTTCAAGCATTTCCTTATATCGTTAGGTGCTACGTTTCCCTGCTGGGAATTCCTGATAGACGTACCGCTCTATTCCCCCACATGTTTGCATTGACAGAGTCTCAGCCTTTCCGGTGTCCGTCTGTTGCTTTCCCAATTGGAACAGGTCATTCGACCGGATACCGGATTATCCCAATGCATTGCCAAAACGCTCGATTCACTCAACTTCGAGGTGCTTCAGTCTCATGCATCACGTCTGCTCAGTTACTTGTTCCTTGGCACGTCTCGTTCCAGTAAACGTTTACGCGGGTTGATTTCCGCCCGGGCGATCACGCTACAACAACACGCTTTTGATTTACTGCTGGCTACTGCACGTATTGGTCAGAGTTCCCAGTCTTTCTCAACGGAACATCTGAAAGCCGTGCTGGATCGCACCGTATCTGAAGCGGTATCCCTTTCGGTATCACCAGTTACGCATTACCTCGATGAGAACCAAGAAACCAGGTTCCCGGCCGATCTTCTCGTCCGTATGCAACGTTTGACTAGCCTGATCTATCGAATTGCATTGTCCGATCCTCTACGTCTATCCCCGTTGGTTAATGAGTATCATCTGCGTAATCTGTTTGAAACCGTTCTCGCCCAATATGAGCATCACTTTCCCGCGATCCGTAGCGGTCGAGGAATTTTCACACCGCTATGGACTCAGGGCATAGAGATCGTTTCTCCGTGTCTTTGGGACAAGTATAACACTCCTGGTGGTCATGTGAAGGTGATGCGAAATTTTGTGATCTCACTTGTTCACGGTCTGTATGCACTGTCGATCACGGTGGAATCGTCCGGATCCGGTAGGACACAGCCACTCGGGTCAACCGCCAAACAATTCCTTTATGAGCTGCTGACGCATAGAAATCTGGCTGTAAGTTGTTCTTTTCACGTGTGTTCAACTCCCCCCTCCCCTCTTGCGTTACATAGTTCTTCTTTTGTTTGTTTTATTCTATTATGTTATAGTTTACACTGTCTATGATAATGCCCTGTTCTATGTCAGACAGCACATTTAGTTCACATGTGTATTTGGTATGTATGTTTGGTAACATTTAGTATGTGATTTGTTTTTGAAATTTTCGCCAGTTGTTCTCACTGTTTCCTGGAAAAGCTGAAAAGGGAAACACCTTTTGTG